GGGCTAAATAGAAAGGAAGGGCTTAATAGACGCCATGGACACAGAAACAAAAGGGTAAAAAAAGAAACCCCATTTAAGGACCGAGAATCTTAAAAACCATACCCTATTCCGCGGCACGTACCTATATGGCCCATATATGCGAGTACCTCTCCCCCCCCCGGGTTGTTTACAAAGTGATCGTCGAGGAGAGGTTGGACCATAGTCTCCCTCGCAGCAGTGACATCCAAAAAAAACGGCTGCGAGGGAGACTAGTTGGACCCAGGCCTGCGTTGGACTATACTTTATGCTGCTTTAATCAAATACTAACGAAGTTTTCACAACTTTACTGGTGTTTGCCTGTCACAGTGAACAGCAAAGATGGTTTTCGGCGATAACTGAATTATTTTAATGAAAACTGCGTTTCATCGGCACAAAGAAGTTGAAGTCGTCAAAATTCAAATACATTTAGCCTGGAGACAACATCTTAGATAATTTTCCGCCCAAAATTTCAAAGGAAAATAATAAGAGTTACCCCTGTCATGCGAACTGTGCGAAGAAAAGAACAGTAACGTTCACGGAAATCTGTTGTAGGAAAAAAACAAAAAAAAAAAAAATTAAATAAATGAAACTTGAGACTTCTGTGGCACAAAACTTATGTAATTACTGGTGACCTGTGAACTCCTCCTTATTGAGACCTATCTGGAATTTTATACGCTTTTGAAACAATGTGAAGTACTGACTTGTGTCTTTTTTCTGTAAATTTTGGGAGTCAACTTGGTTCTGACAGCCTGGTAGCACACAGAGCAATTACAACATTTGCATTAATGCACGAACTGAGCTTGTGACTGCGTTGTTGGTTCCCGACCGGATGTAATTTCTCATGAACTTTACCAAAGGTGTGCTATCCATGCATGTGTCTACACTATATGATTATTATTATTGTTTTGTAGTTGCAGGATATAGCAGTCATTCCATTACTTTCTGATCCGAGATTGAACACGGTTGAGTGCGTTATTACGGGCCATGGGAAAGCTTCGCCCTTTTCTGGGTTAAAAGGTTTGTTGCATGGTGTGAGTTGGAGTTTATTGTTAATCAGCCTTGCCATGAGTACGTTTTCATCACAATGGATAATAGTGAAGCTGCAATCATGGGACAAAGACAAAAATCGGAGCAAGATTGCAGCAGCTATTCTTCTTTCTTTGGTCCTTTTTCTCGGAGGACTTTCCGTTAATATATGTGCATTGAAATTCGCTAAAAATGCCGAAAATGAACAGGACAGCTACGTCGTGGTTTTCTTTGCATTTATATGGCTTGTGCTTCTCCGACGCGTTATTTGGTGTATATTTCTGCATGAATGTAAGTGCAAGTGTTTTAAGTTAAACTTAACCGAGGGCCACGAAGATTTTCCTACCAAAAACTTTTTCTCGTGTTTTGTACTTTATCCGGCAGTATTCATGGCATTTCATCATTTGCTGTGGATTTTGCTTGGTATAATTACTGAACCATTTTGGGGTTTTACAGTTTTAGGGGCTGTTTTAGCCGTTTGCTTTACGTTTTTCTTCTTAGTTTCAGAGCTGTATGCTTTTTTTTCCGACGAATCTGAAAATCCACTGCCAACATCATGCATACGAAAGGTTCAAATTGCCTTCACTTTCTTTCTCATCATCGCTGTCCTAATTGCATTTGTGTTGTTGATGTTAGTTCTGTTCGCAGTTGCACAGGTTTTTCTTAGCGAGAGTTTAATTTCGACATTAGTTCAGAATACTTTGACGTTTGTTTTAACTGCATGGTTTGGATATATGAATATTTTTAAGGAATCAAAATCGGGGGGTCAAAGGCCTAGAACGGTGGAAAATGGAGAGGAGATAGCTTTATAAAACCGGCAAAATTAAGATCTAGCAAGAATTTTCATTAAATGTGGTTTAAGATTCATTTAAGTGTTAAAGAAAGGAATGGAAATATTACATTTCTGTAAACCATTCAAAGCAAAAATTATAATAAGCAGGTTGATTATTTCTTAATCTTTTTGGCGGTCTTATCTAAGTTCAATTTCTTTCACCTTTTTCTCATTGTGGTTGTAAATTTGGCATGGAACCAGATATTCAGTTTACGGTGATTAGAACTTGTAGTATATTTCGCGGTAAGCTATGTTTTTAATTATGTCAAATGCTAGTTAAGTAAGTGAGTAAATCTCTGGTAAAAGTTAACCTCGCACAGGAATTCCTGGGAACTCCTACTTCTTATACTTTTAACTATTCTGAGACTCGTCTTTGGATCAAATTCTATTTCAAATTCACAATCAAGGAATATTTCTTAACTTTTGATTTAACACCCCCAACACCTCTTTCGTAAAGGTGACCCTGAGTGTAAACAGCTTATGCCATTTGACCTTCCGCACTGAATTTTAAATTAGATACTAGTAGTAATCAAAGATTAATAAGTGCGTTAGAAGTTCAATGAATTTAGCTAAAATCATACAAAAACAGAGGAGGAAATTAGTTGAGAGATTAAATGAGAAAGACGAAGTATTTAAAGAGCAACATGAACAATAGCAACTTTAATAGTGAAACCCAAATATGTAACCAAAGATGTTTATCTACTTAGTTACAATGTAGTTTAGATACTGATTGTGGGAGACTAACTTTTGTAACAGTAACATGAATGATAGTAACTTGAATAGTTACAAGGGATTGGTTAGTTGCAAGGGAAAATGTAACAAAACATGTTAGTCTACTCAGTATCTTGAAAAACTGAAAATGATAGAGTAGATTTTATAACAACAACATGAGGCTATGATGAAGTTCAAAATGCTATGAAAATTAGATTTTTCCATGTCTAAACGTTTCGTGTCTGTGTGTCATAGCATTGTTTAACAATTTTTCTTAACTTAACAGTAACCTGGATGATACTAACTCGATTAGTCACAAGGTAAAATGCAGTAATTAGAACATGTCAATCTACTCATTTACAATGTAGTTCAGATACTAAATGAGTGAGACTAATTTTTGTAACGGTAACATGAATAATAGTAAATTGAATAGTTTCAAGAAAGTTATGAAGTTGGTAATGCTATGAAACTTTTTGCAATGTTTAAAAGTTCTGGTGTTTGCATGTCATACCATAGTTTAACAAAAAAATTTTAATAGTAACATGAATAGTAACTTGAATAGTTGCATGGGATTGGTTAGTTGCAAGAGAAAATGTAAAAAAACATGTCAATCTACTTAGTATCTTGAAAAACTGAAAGAGATAGACTAAATTTTATAACAACAACTGGAACATGAAGCTGTGATGAAGTTCAAAATGCTATGAAACTTAGATTTTTTTCCATGTCTAAATATTTCGTGTTTGTGTGTCAGCATTGTTTAACTATTTTTTGTTATCTTAACAGTAACCAGGGCCGGGTTGTTCAAAGCGCGATTAAGCAAACCCAGGGTTAGCGTCAAATTTTATTCCAGTTAAATTAATAACCAAAAGAGATTTTCTTAAGGATTCTTGCTCTTTAGTTTTATTTTTCGATTTGACTTCATGTGCAGCTTATAATTAGCTTTTGAAATCTTTTTAAACAAAAGAGATTAAATCTTTGATTAAGCTTTAATCGTGGGTTAGCAGTAATCGTCTTTTGAACAACTGGGCCCTGNAGGATCCCAGGAATCCCTGCATATGTATGATACAATGTCCGTTACAGAAAAAACCTCATTTAAAGAAATCACAAAAACTTCAGTTTCAACTAAAGCTCCTTCATGTGTGGATGTATTTTCTTCCAGAGCCAATGGAAACAAAGCTTACCCACTAAGCGTAGGATCGAAAGTTCTTCCTGTAAACTGTCACATGACCGACGACCTCGGAACATATGGAGGTGGCCTTCCGCCCGTGGCCGTGGGTTTTCTCCTCCATTTTGATTGCGTAGACTTGTGGTATTTTTCCTCTTATGAAATAAGCATCAAGTAAATCTTATACTAGTAGTAATCAAAGATTAATAAGTGCGTTAGAAGTTGAATGAATTTAGCTAAAATCATACAAAAACAGAGGAGGAAATTAGTTGAGAGATTAAATGAGAAAGACGAAGTATTTAAAGAGCAACATGAACAATAGCAACTTTAATAGTGAAACCCAAATATGTAACCAAAGATGTTTATCTACTTAGTTACAATGTAGTTTAGATACTGATTGTGGGAGACTAACTTTTGTAACAGTAACATGAATGATAGTAACTTGAATAGTTACAAGGGATTGGTTAGTTGCAAGGGAAAATGTAACAAAACATGTTAGTCTACTCAGTATCTTGAAAAACTGAAAATGATAGAGTAGATTTTATAACAACAACATGAGGCTATGATGAAGTTCAAAATGCTATGAAAATTAGATTTTTCCATGTCTAAACGTTTCGTGTCTGTGTGTCATAGCATTGTTTAACAATTTTTCTTAACTTAACAGTAACCTGGATGATACTAACTCGATTAGTCACAAGGTAAAATGCAGTAATTAGAACATGTCAATCTACTCATTTACAATGTAGTTCAGATACTAAATGAGTGAGACTAATTTTTGTAACGGTAACATGAATAATAGTAAATTGAATAGTTTCAAGAAAGTTATGAAGTTGGTAATGCTATGAAACTTTTTGCAATGTTTAAAAGTTCTGGTGTTTGCATGTCATACCATAGTTTAACAAAAAAATTTTAATAGTAACATGAATAGTAACTTGAATAGTTGCATGGGATTGGTTAGTTGCAAGAGAAAATGTAAAAAAACATGTCAATCTACTTAGTATCTTGAAAAACTGAAAGAGATAGACTAAATTTTATAACAACAACTGGAACATGAAGCTGTGATGAAGTTCAAAATGCTATGAAACTTAGATTTTTTTCCATGTCTAAATATTTCGTGTTTGTGTGTCAGCATTGTTTAACTATTTTTTGTTATCTTAACAGTAACCAGGGCCGGGTTGTTCAAAGCGCGATTAAGCAAACCCAGGGTTAGCGTCAAATTTTATTCCAGTTAAATTAATAACCAAAAGAGATTTTCTTAAGGATTCTTGCTCTTTAGTTTTATTTTTGGATTTGACTTCATGTGCAGCTTATAATTAGCTTTTGAAATCTTTTTAAACAAAAGAGATTAAATCTTTGATTAAGCTTTAATCGTGGGTTAGCAGTAATCGTCTTTTGAACAACTGGGCCCTGGATGATACTAACTCGATTAGTCACAAGGTAAAATGCAATAATTAAAACATGAGAATCTACTCATTTACAATGTAGTTTAGATACTAAATGAGCGAGACTAATTTTTCTAACAGTAACGTGAATAATAGTAAATGGAATAGTTTCAAGAAAGTTTAATATGAAATTCAAAAATGAAGTGCTATAAAAGTTTTTGTGATATCTAAAAGTTTTAGTGTTTGTATCTCATAGCATGAATTATTAGTAACTTAAATAGTTACTAGAGATTGGTTTGTTACAAAGGAAAATGCAACAAAACATGTTAAATGGCAATTTTTTCAATGTCCACAAGTTTTCGCGTTTGCATGTCAAAGCATACTTTAACTGTGTCTAGGTTTAAGACAGCCTCTGTGATTTCCTCCTCTGTTGTTTCATTTGCAATTAAGTGACAAATTGAAAACAACTTTGACACTGCTTCTTGATAAACCTGTAGCTGAAGCTTCTGCAGTGGTTGTTTGGAGTTTTGGATATGGATCTTGAGTGTCCACTTTACACTGCAGCTGGTTGCCTTTTGTGTTACTTTGCAGTTATCGCAGACTGCAATTTTTCCCTTGATTGTAACTTTTTTTGAACATGAACAACAACAGTTGTATTTGGTGACACTGCTTATTCCTAGTATTTCTCCAATGGTTTCTGTTGTTGTTGAGATGTCATTGACTTCAGGTAATGTTTGTTTGAAGGGTTCAGCGTCCTTGATGGTGTATAAATTATCTTGTTTTGGTGTGTTCAAGTATCTTTGATTCTGAGATACTTTCATTCTCAAGTTGTTGAAGAAATAGGTGGACTGTGGTGTGACGCTGTCAACATGCTCACCCCAGAAAATAACTTTTATGTAACCAGATGGATCAACTATATAGCCTTCCTGTTTTTTGACAGGAGAATCTTGGATGACTATAGTTTTGGTCGCACTTAGATGTGATATCTTTCCTTTTATTGACACTAGCTGTTGTGGTGCTACTTTTGACAAGGATGCAATTGATGTGACATCATCTTGTGCTTTGTAAGGAAAATCAGCTGTTGTTGAAGTGATGGTTGTGTTCCTGTTTATTACTACATCACTTCGTCCATACTTATTGCTGATGTTAAAATTTGAAATTTTAACCGGTGATCTTTGTGTGGCCATTGCATCAAGAGTTTCCTTCTTTTCAGTTGCAAAGCATACACTGCCAATGAGATCTTTCTCTGTCTGAAGGTGGCAGTTAAAGTAGTTTGTTGGTCCAGATTTTTTTACTGGTGAGACATTATGCACAAAGCAAGTTATGTCTTGTTTTTCTGTAGGAGGAGGTAAAAAGATATTTAGATTAATGTAATAAATTTGGCATGGATGGGATTACTGCATAAGGTAGCTTGTGTTATTTGAAAAAAACATATGTGTAAATATTAGTCTCCTTGTTTCATGTACTGTAAATCCTCTATTAAGCCCACAGGGGGCTTATTGTTTTAAGGCGCATTGGGGGGGGGGGGGGGCTAAATAGAAAGGAAGGGCTTAATAGAAGGGGAAGTGTTAAAATTTAGCAAAACAGGAGCAGTTCACCACTCATTAATTACTGTAATTAAGATTATTTTTAGTACAAAACAGGGATATTTTGGCCAAAGTTTGCCATCAACATGCAAGAGGTGTGGGAAAAATAAATTGTATCATATAACTACATGAGAACATTAAAGATGGACAAAAGTGATAGGAAACAGTGTACATCTAATACCTAGATGTTCAAAATAACATGTTTTATTAATGAGAGCATATAGAGCAGGTAAGGTTATAAAATGATTTTAAAACAAGAAGCATTAGTTTAATAGAAGAAAGGAACGTATAACCATAATATTTAAGTATGACCGGGAGATACATACCTGAAGCCATATTAGATCTCTGTCTTGTCTGTTGAAAAAAAAAAAAAAAATAAGGATGTATACAGATGTTTTAGGAGGGTGTTTAAAATACGTTTAAACCCTAGTTAATACAACACTCTGAAACATTACATGGAACTTTGCTTTAAATGTAGTTGGAAAGTGAACTATTTATAACCATAAAAAAAATCATTTATGTATGCATGTGTTGAAGGCCGTATAATCAATTTATTCTAATTAATCAATTTTGGGTGCTGTACTGTTGTGAGTGACTTTGTTCGCATCACTCAACTTGGGATCAATTTATATTTGCTAGATTATATAGCCTGCTTTCTTCTTCAAGTCTATATTTTAAATTAGTGGATTTCTTAAGACTCTTAAGTCTTTCAAAAGTCATTGGTTCAATAATACAAGATGAAAGTGTTTTCACTCTGCTTATAGCTACATATGAAATGCCTGCAGTAGTTTCAGTCTGACCAATGTCAATCCATGCTTTTGGCAGTGTTAACCCTTGGCTCTTGTGTATTGTGATTGCCCAAGCAAGTTTGAGAGGCAACTGTTGTCTCTCATGTAAACCATCTAGTGTCTGTGAGGTTATTGTTATTGGGCATATAGGCACACATCGTGGAATGCTATCACTGATAGATGGACCTCTATACTCATTAAATTTTACTATGACAGCGACAGGCAAGTCTGGTGGTTGCTGGTTGTTTGCATAAATGAAATCTTCAACCGTTCCAGTTGCACCGTTACAAAGTCCAACATCTATCCATAGGTTCATGGTAAGCATTACATGTGCACCTTTTGCAAGGAAAATGGTCGGTTGTAAACCTGACATGTCATCTGAACTTGCTTTCTTAGCTATATCACTAGAGTGACGTGCAGTGATGCAGGCTATTGGCTGATGAAGTTCTGATAACTTTTCAAAGTTATAATTAGCAACTTCTTCATTGCTGAAATAGAGCCTAGTGGCATCTTGAAACTCATTCACGTTCAATGCTATGGAAGGCTGTCTTGCCAAAAGAAGTTTCCAATCTTGCTCATTAGAATCTCCTGTGCGAAGGCGTATGAGTAAATCTCTAAACTGAGCTTGCTGTTGATTTAAGCCTTGAACCCTCTGGTTTACTGACAGTTTTACAACATTGCCAAACATGTGATAAGCTAAATAGCCTTGTTCACCTGTAGAACTGGAGGGTCTCGAATGATATAATGGCTTATCTGCCACTGGAGGCAATTGAGCTGGGTCACCAACTAATATCATGGATTTACCACCAAATACTTTGTCATTTTTGCCTGTTGCTTGTCGGCAGCGTCTATCAATCCAGCCAAACAATGTTTGTCCTAGCATAGAGTATTCATCAATTAGGATATAACTGATATCTTTCAGCTTGGTTTGTAATGTGACAAGCCCTTGTCCTGTTAATTCTTTGTTATGTCTTGGGCCAACAGGCAATTTTAATAGTGAATGGATTGTACATCCGTTTATGTTAAATGAAGCTTTGCCAGTTGTGGCAGTCACTGCACAAGAGTGTTGGAGCAGGTTTCGGATGGCATTAATGAGGTAACTTTTCCCTGTACCGGCAACTCCAAGTATAATAAGAAGCAATGGATCTTTAGGGCAGGCTTGTTCAGAATGTGCTTTCACCATATTGTAGGCATGTCTTTGCATGTCACTGAATGTATTAACATCAATATTTTGTTGTTGCAAACCAAAGGTAGAATCCAAAGTATCTTTCTTAGTTTTTACCCAGGATGGCATTTCCTGTATTAAGTGATTTGCATACTTAATCTTGTCATTTTGCCAGTCATAATCAGGCTGAGAGGTTTGTTGTGTTATATTATCTTGGTTAACAAAATACCCAGGTATGAGATCTGCTAAATCCATCCACTCTTCACGCTGTGGAAGCTCTTCTGAAGAGTGCTCTATATTTGGTTCCTCTTCTGTGTTATTCTGTACACTTTGTAGTTTTTCATACCAGTCAGGAACATGCTCTTCAGCATATGGTGTTTGTAGAAATTCCTTCCATTTTGTGATGTATATTTCATCAGTGCCTTCCTGACAATCCCAGGCATTGTCTTGTGTAGTATGCCAAGGTTTGTGCTTAAGTAACTGATATTTGCAATAAAGTCCAAAATTTGGACCTTTTGAATTGGAAGAAAATACTGGAAAAACTCTGGGAATCATGTTATGAGGCTGAACTGTTAGTTTGTTGTTGACAAGTTTGTATTTTGTTGCAAAATGAATGAAATTAAGAGCCATTATATCTGGGATGGTTTGAATATATTTTTCCCTTTTAGCGTAAGTATCAAGCAATGAGTCATTGGTTACAGTATCTCCATCATTTGTTATAGTTTTGATTCTACGTGAACCATTTAGACTAATAGGTACCACATTAAATGATGAGCTGACAAGTTTCAGTGACATGAGATGATGCATAGTCTCTTGTGCAGAGAAGTCACGTTGGCCAAGTGATTTCATTATCACTTTTTTTATCAATTTTGTAGGGTTGCTATTGTTGTTGCAATTACGGACAATAGAATTAAATGCAAGTTTCATTACAGGTGACTTTGGTTCACCTTTTGAAGCATATTTTGCAAGGTATTCAACACATGCATGATAATCAATGATTACTTGAATATCACAGTTTGCCCTCCAGCCTTGAAGCTGAAGTCGTTGGTGATTATTGAGTCTGCTATCATTCCTCTTTGTTATGATCTTTGCTTTGTATTGAGTGCTTCGATCTTTTGTATGAATGGGCTCAAACTCTAGTTTTGTATTAACACAAGGTTGAAATGGAAACTTAAATCTACATTTCAGTTCTGTTTCGTTTTGTTTCTTTCTAAGACAATAGTTTGTACTACAGCGAGTGTGCCTTTGTACAGTATTCAACAAATCAACATAATCTTGTTCAGAGTCTTGTAAACTTACAAGGTCCTTGTGACGCTTTTGACAAGGATGAATAGAGGGCTTCACCCATGTGCCATTATCTGGTGGATCTGGATTATATGTAGACAATAACCAATCTACATACTGACAAACTACCTGAGAAGCCTTTTTCCCATCCACTATCTGTTGATTGAGTTCTAGTATATTGACTTGCTCAGCTGTATTAGTGGACATTTCAGCCAAATAGCCTTTTAGAGCTGTTTCTGAGAGTTTACATAAACCTGGATCATTTTTCAGCTTTGCTACACCATGACAATGTATACTACCTCTAGCTTGATATTCAAATCTGTACCAGTGCCACTCAGCATCTAGTGAATTGTATAACCAGTATTTAATAAAACTTTCTAAACGCTGTGTAAAGAACCAGTCTGTAATATGAGGATTGTTAATGACATTCTGCCGTTTGTTCTCAGTTGAATTAATACTGACTGAGTTGCCAAAAATTGCATGAAGTTCAGGCCAATGCATATCAGCAGAGGAGAATGTGAAAAAGAATGTTGGAGCTCCAGCATGGGCTATTATTGCTTTTAAATCTTCTTTAGCTTTGTGCCAATAAGCATTAGAACCAGTAATGTCGTAGCATTTCTGGGGAGCGGTACTCGTGAATGCATTCTTCTCCGAATTTTCTGTTTATTCTGTCGTGGTAACAGTCTTCTAAGGCTATTTTCTCTTAAGATATCTTTTCAAGGATGATTCTAATTCTACCAATAGGTTAATTATAATTTTTATGTTATCAATCTTGTTTCTGCTCTGGCCGATCTTAATGGTAAAAGTAAGAAATTTAAGGTAGAAAATGATTTCGTAACTGCGTAAACAACTCGAAGGCGTATACTTTGTAGGCAGGAACTTTTATACGTAGCTGAACGTGATTCGCTGGTTGAGAGAGAACAAAGACGATGCAAGAAGATTGATAGCTTAGTAGTGTCACCTTCAGTGTCGCCTTCATAAGCTAGTGCAAAGCATTTTCAATCAAAAAAGAGTAAAGTTGAACTGTACTGAGTAGAGTTAAAAACTGAGCTAGTCCCTAGAAGTAGAACATTGTATTAGGAGTTCAAAGCCCAGATGTAAAGGAGTATCAACCGTGTGTTAGAAAAATCTTCTGACAATGGCTCCGGTAACCTAATCACTTCATAATTCAAAAACTTAGATAATCACAGGTAGTTAGCATACGTTTTCTATGGCAGCCCTTATCACTCTTTGCTGTCACATTTACTCAGGTACTCTTCCCTCAACTGCACCTAATTAGTTTTCTATGAAATTCTGAAGAATCGTTTTTTTCGCTAAATCATTATTGTTAAACTGTAGATCAATCATTGCAGTATTTTTAAGTCACACGCTAACTTTCAGTCAATTTTTTCTTTATTATATAAAAATGTCATAACGTTGTGATTCATGAACTGTTTTAGGTACTAGATTGTAACTGTAATCAATTTTCGTATTGATAATAAAAGAAAAATAAATGGACGTTAGAGCCTCTTGTTGTCACCAACCGCCTGCCATAGTATCATCAGTTTGTTTCACAAGTAATAGTTTTTAGGGAAAACTAGAATAGTTGGTAGCACTGATGGTGCGCTCTGATTGGCTGATGTTTAAACTCCGAAAATCCTGTGCTAGTCACCTCCTAGCAATTCACGGAAAATATTCTAATCGTTGGAGGAATAAAAGTGTTAAAAATCGTCTTTTTGTGGTATATTATCTTACTCTTATAGTATGTAGTGTTGGTAGATAGATATTCACCACACCGTTTCACGGCTCGCCAAATATCCACCGCTTCGGAGAAAAGTGTTTTAATATAAGGGGTGTATGGGCAAGTTTCATTCGCTTCGTAATCAAATTCGAGCCTTTGTCAGGATTTCTTTAAAAATAATCAATTGTTAACGTCGACAAAAAATTACAGTCGAATCTTGACAACTCGAACCATTAAGGGAATTTGAAAGGTTCGAATTATCGGAAGTGCGAGTTATCGGGAGTTGAAAACAAAGGACCGGAAATAGGGGTAAAACTTGTTTTTACTGTTTCTTCTATTCATACAATATACATTTTGATCAAGTTTAAGGTTACTTTCCACCTTCGCGGGTGTTCTTCGGGGAAAAAAACTCGCGCGCGCACTAGTTTCAAGAAAACGCCCACAAACTATACATCAAACGAAAGCTTAATAAATGCAGTTTACGATAAAAATATAATTTAGGCGATATTTTCATTTGGGGAGTGTCAGGAACCGGTAAGGCGTGAAACGACCGAGGGTCCTTCTATTGAATTTATCGGGTATCGGATCCCCCAGCACGAGCAAAATGGCTGCACAGTCATATTCAAAAGGCATCAATCAACGAAAGTGTGTCAGGCTGTGCACGTGCGTTATAAATCTTTGTAGATTTCTTTGCACTCTCGGCAAAACAGCAACAAGAAACAAAATAACCAAACTTTGCGTTGTCTGGAGAACGTGAACATCCACCACTGATTTTTAAATTTCTTTTTCTTATTTAAGGCTGTATTCAAATTTCAGTTTTGAGATAGTTTTGACCGTGAGAAACAAACTAAATGACTTTAGAGTATCATGGGACTCATGGGTAAAATATATGAGTTTATTTTTTAAGCGACGTTGTCCACGTCGTCGCCGTCGTCCTTTCTTAAACTCCCTATTTAATCACTGAAAATACGTAACAATTCAGTTATTATAATGATGCTCATTACATGAACTAATTAATTAAAAGAAAGACTGGATTAGAGAGAGAATTACGCAAAAAAAGACTCAAAGTTTTGGGATGGTAATTTTTTAAGCCCCGCATTCTAACCTATAATTCATGTAACAGAGGCCATAATGTTGAACAGAAATCTTACAGTACTCAATAGTCCTTTTTATAGCTGTCGGTTTGGTGGCCAACCCTTTGAACAGGAGTGAGGCTTAGGGTGACCTTGTTCTGATAGAGATGTTGCTACTTTTGAAATGCAAATTACTTTGTTATCATGCTAACTAGATACAGGTCTCTATCACAACAGGATCACCCTTAGCCTCACTCCTGTTCAAAGGCTTGGCCACCAAGCCGACAACTGTAAAAGGGACTATTCATGCACAACTCTTTTTCACATATTATTTCTCGAATTTGGAGTCAGTTACCTTCGTCAGCAAAGTCTGCTGAAATGTGTCAATTTCTCGTAGATCAATATTAATCAGCAAGCTCGATTTTCCCGGCTGCCAGTGTAACAATTCGAATTGATATTTATCATTTCCAACGATTATTCTCAGCATTTGTCACCATTCGTGATAAATTGCATCAGCTTATTACATTACATTATATATTATACTTATTATCGAATAACCTTTTTCTTTTTTTATTGTATATATATAATGCTTTTTATATTTACTCTGTCAATCACTTTTGTCATGAGCCTCTGGCTCGGGAGATCTGGGCAACCACTCCCTGTGTAATTGACTTTAAATAAATTATCAATTACCATGGAAAGCAGCAATTGAAAATGTAAAACGCAGGTGTGCACAGATTAAATAATACAGAGGAAAATCTATGGATTCCTTACTTATAATTTTATAATAATTTTATAATTTCCTCACGTAAAATTTTACATGCACTTAAGTTTAATGCAGGGCTCGACACTTACTTTTCAACTTACTAGCCAAGTGCCTAGTGACATCTTAGATGTTACGACAATTTCAATTTGTTTACTAGCCAAACTGGTTGGTGGGAATCGAAAATCACTGGCTAAAACTGAATTTCTTTTAGTCTGTGGTTAGTTAGTTACCGTTAGTGTTGAGCATTGTTAATGTCTTCTCTACCTTTGTTTTTGATTGCCTTTTGTTTATTTTCGTACAATATGGTATTATTGAAAGAGGACGTGATGGTTTTATTTATTAAAAACTGGATCATTGGATAATGCAATTCAAGACTTTTTATTGGCTTAGCCATTATGGTATATCAGCCAATATACCATAATCTACAAATATGGTAAGCGTACGCGTCAGCTTAAAATCAAAAGGGAGCTAAAAAATCCAGTTTCTTCTTACAAAATAATAATTTCTTGGGGGCGTTTTTAATAAAACAATTATTCCACTCGCGCTTGTTGGATATGAGATGATTATAGCCAACTCGGTGCTACGCGCCTCGTTGGCTATCTATCATCTCATATCCAACGCGCACTCGTGGAATAATTGTTAAATAGCATATTGAACACATGCATGGTCTCATTAGTCAATTCAGTTAAGAAGCGAACGCTTTACCAGGTTAAAGAGCCCGTACGTAACTAGTTATGTCAAAAGCAATAGAACACATTTTTCCGGGCTTGTGATTTATAAGCTTTCCTTGTGTTCAACCCACGTGGCTTTATCATGATTAGAACCCCGAATGATGTGTTATATTGCTTAATTAAACCGGTATAAGTGGCTATTTTCGGGTGCTCCTTTTCCGCGGCCACATAATGGATGTAAAGCTCTGGAATAGTAACTGTGATGGGCCTAATCCCAGTTATGCTCGTAAAATGTTGGAAAGTTGCTCACTGGAATGCCAAAAAGTGTTAAAAAATCACCAAAAATCCAAAAAGATTCCTCCCCAAACTTCAAACTGAGTTGCTATATAAATTTCTCGATATTTCTAAATAAAGGCTAATTTAAAGTTTTGTTTTTCGTTCCTCGCAATAATTACTAACACAAGTCAAAAAACTTAACTTTAATGAGTTGCTAGTAAATATGAATGAAATTTGAGGATATTCACAAGTCTTACGGAACAAAAAGCATGCCTGATTTGGCGTCTTACCGAACGAAACGTTGGCAAGTTACAGCTTATGTGTTCAAAAGGTCGATAGACACTCAAGGAATTTGTATATATTGAAGTTTTTTTATGAAATCGTTGACTTTCTCGTGCTTGATTTGTATTCTAGACAATTATTTTTCGCAAAGATTGCTCGGATTTGAAACAATTTCTCTATGGTGCTAGAATCTCCAGAAGTTGCTCCAAACGCCAAAAGTTGCTGAAAAGTTGCCGAGCACAATATTAATCAGGACAGACCTAGTCAAGTCCGCTAAGTAACTCTCGATCCATAGTTATGTCCGCATCTGACAAATTTTTCCATATCATTTTCGCATCAAAAACACTTAAGCGTTTGATTTCAATCCTTATCCAGTTTGAAGTGTGGATTTTCTTTGTTCATAATCAATTTTTGGATTTCCGGAGGACCTATTGAGTGGAAAACAAGGCAAGACACATTCATTCTATGAGTAGAAACTGGGGCCAGCCTGTAGAAATTTTCCCGCACATGGCAAAATACGCATGCGCAGGCATAATGGTGGAAAAACATGGCGGACGATGAAGATGACGATCCAGTTGTGGCAGAGGTTTGTTGCGTTATCATTGGAGATAAAAATGCACCATTTACGTCGCAAGGTATTCATATGAGACAAAAATCTCTGTATACATCCACAGGTGGACGTTTATTTGGCCCAGACTTTGGCCAACAACCTCTACTTGTTCCAGGTACCTTTTATTCTTTTCTGCGCACATAAGTAATCTTTCCGTATACATTTAACATTTGACATGAAAAAAAAGATTGTTTGAGCGTAATGTTTGAGATAAAGTTGTATCAGCGATAAACGGTTCGTACAGTCCAACTTTTATTTTCAGAAGGGCATATTTGCACTTCGAAAAATTAAGTTAACTTTGAGAGCTGCGGTGGTTTGACAGATGTACGTGCCTGAATCATTACTTTGTCGTAAAACTGACATTTTTGCATCATCTACCACGTCTCAAGCCACTATATTTCGCTGATGTTATGCTCTCAAATATTTGCCTTTATGTGAAGCTTGCCACAGGATTCAGATTCGTTTTCTGACCATTATGCTTTTCAGAAATTGCTGTTTCAGAGAAATCGCGAAAATATATCAAATTCTGAATAACTTATGTGCATATTTTACAAATTTTTGGTTCAATTGGAAAGTTGAAAGTCCTCACAGCCAAAGAGTGCAAAGTCACACAATTTGATCCTGAAGGCATACAGAAACTTTAGGTTGATGCTTTCAAACTCCAATGGAGTTAGGTGTTAATTTTGGTTATATTGTGGGTCTAAGACTGATTGAGATTTTTTCTTTTATCAGTGTAACAACGATGATCTGACTAAACATGTTTGCTTTGCAGTACCCAGTGCGTCCAGCTGATATTACTTATGATAATATCCCTCATATTGGAGCAAGAATCAAGCCAGAGCAGCAAAAGGTGAGTGAGAAAGTATAGCGTATTAAGCTGAAAGTTCAAGGTTTATCTAGAACAGAAACCTGGCTAGTTAAGGTTAAAAGGCATCAGACTGCCGTGGGGGAGGTCGAAGGTTCTAGTACCAAACTGGACCAACACACAGAGTCATAAATTAACCGAGGAGGAAGTGCTGCCTTTGCTCCTTCTCGTCCCATCTCTTGCATCTGCTTAGTGCTGTTTAGAAGGGGACATTAA